GAAAGTCTAAGCAATTATTTTGTTGTCTTGCTCTTATGAATGCAGCTGGGCAAATTCACCTACCTTTTGCCTACCTGGTTTTTATCCATTTTTGCTTCTTGGGGTATTTTGCACCTATCACAAACAAACTGAGCTGCCCGGCTGCTGCACAAGGAGTTTCCCCCCCTTTCCCCATGGTGCCCTCAAGGACAGAGACGAGCAGGGCTGAGCAGAGTCAGATTGTTCTGTCCTGCCCATGGTGAGCACAGAACCCACCATGCTTTGGTGGCACAAGGCAAATCACACACCTCTCCTCTAATAGCCAAGGTGCAGAGTGAAGTTGGAGAGGCTGGAGGCCATTTCATCTCTTTCCTCCTACATCCTTGACAAAACCTTTCCATTTCTGTCTATTGTTGAGCTTAGCTTAGTTTGAAGTTAAAGGATTTTCAGAAGGATAAATGGATGCTAATGCAGAGGGACAAGGGGCCAACTGGATGTAAGGTTTGTATCCAAAGTTTGTAGCTAGAGCCAAGTAAGACCTCTGGTCTTGCCTGAATAATAGCAGCCCAGCATTTGGTATAAAAGCTTGACTTCTGGAGGCACCACCTTCTCTAAGGAAAGCTCATCTTTTATGGACACCCCAACATCTCAAGACGCCATCACCCTGTGCTGCCAACAGGGTCATGCAGGGTAAAAGAAAGGACCAGTCCTGCTGGGAAACCAGGCAAATTTGGCCTCAATATTTTTCAGCCAAGGAGGATAAATAATAACAAAGAGGATGATGGACATGGTGCCACGTTTGAGAGGAACAGACGGGAATGTGCCTGGTTGCTGCAGCAACAAGGCTGGGCTTTCAGAAAGATGGGTTTTTCTTTCCCTTTTCACCTGCCAATCTTTCCCCCACGTCAGAGCTCTGCCGTTGCGGGAGACGAGCGGTGACATTTACACTCCCACTAACAAGCTGGTTTGGGGATGGGCAGCTCTGCAGGAGAGCATCTGGTGTCACACAGCCCGACTAGAGAGGAGGAGAGGGTCCTCTCAAGCAATCAACATAATTTGTGACTTTTTATTGTGGTAAGTGTTACTAGGGCAGGAACATGAATAGAAATAGTAAGCAAAGCCTCAGTGGGGCTGACAGAGTTTCCTACCCTTTATGGGTGTCTGGTCCTGCAGCTGATGGGAGAAGTGAGGTGCTGCTCCCATCCAGAGAACATCTCTGACTGTCCTGGGAGAGGGAAGGAAGCAAAAAGGAAGGAAAAGAAAAAAAAGAAAAAAAAAAAAAAAAAAAAAGTGAGAGTTTGATGAAAACTCTGGAGTTTGGGGTTCCCCTGTGCTCCCTGAGGCTGCCCCTGTCCTTGGGAGAAACCTTGTTATGATGGCAGAGGTGACACTCAGGCTTCTCTCCATCCCAGCAGGTTTGCCCACCACTGGGCCTCATTACGCTTTCCTTCACCTTCTGGAAGAGACAACTTTCAGCCCATGCAAATTGTCCCCCCAAAAAATGGTAACAGTAGTGATAGTAGTAATAGTAATACCAATAGTAATTGAGCTACAGCAAAGTAAATGCAAGAAAAATGCAACAACTCCAAAATTATTTGTATGAAATAGTAGTGCAGGAAGCTGCTTTGAATCATCTCCTCTTTCTCAGTGGTCAATACGCTGGTGGCATCAGGAGGAAAATGGAAACTAAGGACAAGCAGCCTTTCCTGGCTGCCAGACTGCTCTGCCACCGGGGCCAGCTGAGGAGGTGCCCTGCTGGACTATGACCCCCAGACTGGAGGTGGAAATACAAGAGTATTGTGATCAATAAAACTTGAAATTTGTGTATTCCCATGCCCAGCAGTGCCAAGGAAGCCATGTTTCCTAAGAAACATTATCTATAAGGCAGAGATCCATGTGAAGTCTCTGATGCCTAGTATGGATTGCACTCATATATTTATTTGAGAGCATAAATAAGTTTCAAAAAGTGTCATTCTTCTTTGACAAAGCTTGGAGGTCCCTGGTATCTTGGAGAACTCCACCAGTCCATCAAATCAGGCAGAAAGCATGGGCTGAAAATTACTAAGACACAAATAGGCAGTTCCACCTCCTTCGCTGTCCTCATCCTTCCTTCTGAGCACAGAGCATGTGCTAATCTGCCACTTTTCATAAGGAGCCAGGATAAAAGACTAGGGTGTCAAGGAGGGAAGCCCACCTCTAGTGTCTTTGTCCCTCCCAGGAGCTAGTGCAGCCCCTTCAGACTGAATTTGAAGAGGCAAAGTACCTGATGTATTGTAACCCAGTTTTCACAGAGTAATTGCACAGCTTTTCTGAATCTTCACTAAAAAAACTCCCTACATCTTTCAGCTGGTGCTTAACAGTATAACCAGTAATCTGCAGAGAAGAGGTGGCTGAACAAAGGTACAGTTGAGCCTGGGGGGAAAAAATGCATGAAGGCAGATTATAAAAGACCAGATAAATAATCTTTCAAATATGGAAACTGCAGAAATTAGGAGGCTATTTGCAGAAATCTCTTATTACAGAGAGTACACAGGAAGTATTGGCAAGACTTCAAACTGACCAGTGTATGAAGGTCTTACAAAGGAGAAACCAAACTCATCCACCAGTGGTGACTGTCACCCCTGCAGCGGTGGAACACACGTGGTGACAGCAACAAATCCCTTGTCAGTGATGTCAACCAGTGAAGGATGGAAAATGAGATCACTGGTAGAATTATTTTCCAGCAACTTTACAAGGGTGACCCCTACCCCAACCTCAGCATCTTCCAGCAGAGGATTGAGGAGGGAAACTTGTTCCCTGTGGCACTGGAGCCTATGGTGAGAGCTCCAGCTGGGCAGAAGCTTTGCAGCTCCCATGGACAGTGGAGCCAGATGAAAGAGCAACAGGAAAAAGACATTTTTTTTAGCATTCTTGACTCAAACTCTCTTTTCTTCCTATTAAAAACGAAAAGTAAAAAGAATGTAATTCTCATCTGTAACAGGAGGAGTTTTTTTAATTTTGAAAACTGAAATGTTTTTGTGCTTTGTGGGTTAACTTTTTTGCTGTCAAGCCCTAATACTGGAAAAGACAGAATCCTTCTGCAAGACATACTTGTATGAAAGACAATTGAAATCTTCCGTGCTCATGTTGATGTTTGGTTTTGGACCCTTTCAACATCAGTCCAATATAGTTTTCTGCCTCCTGAATCCTTGCCCTCCCCCAAAAATGTGAGTTGCTTATTGTAAAACCTGACAAGCAAAGCAAGTGAATCAACTGTCCTACTAGGGCAAGTAACAAGCTGTGCCACCCACCGGTCTACATGTCCATGGAGTAGCAAAGAACACCAAGAACCATGCAGAAGCTTCGTTCCCAAATTCAGGCATTTCTAAAGGCATAAATATTTTTCTTTAACTATGTGGCTGCATCTCAAATGATCCACATGCAATTTTCCTCCCACATCCAGGGAACAGGACTGTCAATGCTGGTCACTCCAACAGACATGCCCTGGGGAAACTGTACCAGCACATAGGTATCAAGTTGATTTTGCAGAGCAGCAACAAGCACCAAGCAGGGGACCTCTGTCTGGTTGCAGGGTAGGGGAATATTGTCTTAGAAATATGAGCCTTGTGCACAGCGTTGAGACAAGTATCTGGTTCCTGCTGCTGCCCAGATTACCCAAACACCCAGACTCCACCTGGGCAGAATGGAGAAGGGTTTGAGAGCTGCAGTGTATTACATCAGGATTAGATGTGGGGACTCAGCTTTCTCAGAAGTGAAATGAGTCTTTCTGAGAGTTGCCTCTTCCCCAGAGAGCTGTGATGATTCATTAGGCAATTGTAAAATCAGAATGTAGCTGCTGACTGAGTTGCAGCCCATTAATAGCCCTATTTATTGCCAACCAAATAATTAACTTAGACATGCATCAACAGGTCTTGATTGCATATGAAATAACTGCCTTATTACACAGAAATCAAATGAGTTTCTGAGGACAGCTCAGGTGTCACATCAACCTCAGTATTAAAGAGATTTAAAAAAACAACAACAAAACAAAACAAAAAAAACCAAAAACAACAACAAAAAAAACAAAACAGAAAAACCCCTGCCATTCTGATGTGTTGCTGAGCAACAGAATTTGCGGGGGAAACAATCTAGGAATGAAGGAATGAGCATTTCCAAAAGAACAGGTTATTTCAGGCTAGATATCAGGGACAAGCAAATGTCACAAAGACAGAAAACATTTTTTTTTTCCTCCTTTAATCAATAATTTAAACTAGGTATTTTTGGTAAAATAAGCACTTCAGCTAGCTGATTGAAAAACGAAGATCCCAAACCTTTACAAAGAGTCACACTGCTGAAGAAATGTTTGTTTGTTTGTTTGTGTGAGGGAAACATTAGATTTACTAGATACTGAATTAAAAATTGAAAACGCTTTTAGAAATGTCACCTATTCATTTAAAGAGGAAGATGATGTAATGCCAGCATTGCTATATTGTGTAGCATCCCTCCTGGAGCAACCTCATATTAATTTTGTTGTTCTCCTTCCATCTGCCCTCCCCTCCCTCCCTTCTCCTTTCTCTTCTAGGACAAGACGAGCGCGCTGAGTCTCAGCAATGTGGCGGGAGTTTTCTATATCCTCATCGGTGGGCTCGGACTAGCCATGCTGGTTGCCTTAATCGAGTTTTGTTACAAGTCCAGAAGTGAATCAAAGCGGATGAAGGTGGCAACCCATTCCCAGGCCTTTCACACCTTCTCTCTGATCCTACCCCGGCTCCAAAGCTGCCTTCATACACGGATGCAATCCAGACCATGGGTGGAAAGCCAGGACATAGGGATAATGAAGTGATAGTGTTATTCGACTTGCTAGAAAGAAACAAGAATATCAGAGCAAGCTAAAAGAGGGTCAAATGGGCCATAGTGGGGAGCTGATGCAAGATCAGACATGTGGCATAATGCTAATTGAACATTCAGATACAGAACAAAATCATAGCACAGACAGGAACAGGAACACCTTGCTGTTCCTTTCCATTAATGAAAGCAGAATATGGTGATGTATGTGAAGCATGGATGGAGTGTGCTGGGTTTGGTGGGATACAGCTGCTACTGCAATATGGAAAAAAAACCCAGACCCAAGCAGTTAACTGCAAGATAAAGCTGGGGTAGCATGGTAATGAATCAGATCCTGTTCCTTTGCTGGCAGCCTGCTGGTAACATTTGCAGGTTGGCAACAGTGATACATGCTCAGAGCATTGTTGCCTTGGGACAGATTATGTGGGTCTTCAAATTCCATATTATGTGCCCTCCTGAAAGAGAAAGTGGTCTCTAATATCTTCTGTAATGTTTTGGGTACTTTTTCTCCACTGTGTCATGGTCTTGCAGAAGCAAATTTCCTTCCTATGACCCAGGAGATTTGTTTTAGCTCTGAATTCTGGGATGCCTAAATTTTTGTGTTGTGTCAAGAGTAGATTAGATTTGAGAGCCTTGGAGATACAAATTTAATATGGCATCTGTGGAAAGGTGATCCCTTTTACAGACACCACTGCATACAAGGGTGCAGCAGGATCTGTGCAGTAAATGTAACACATCCCTTTTCCTCTTTATCTTGACCTCTCCCATGAGCATGGAGGTCAGTATGAGTAGATGAAGTACACAATGAGTTTCATAAAATTTAGAGAGATTTTGCCTTTTCTGAGCACTGAAACTTACCCAGAATCATAAGGAAAATAAGCAATTTTTTCTTTGGGTTTTATGTCATCATTTCACAATATGCTTAATGTTCCATCAGCAATAATAACATTTCTAATTCCCTGAAAAATGTTCAAAAGCTCTTTTCCCATTGAGGTTCAGAAAATTCTACAGGCAATGAGAGGTATATTGAGCACAGGGGTAAGATAATCTGAATGATTAATGTCCTTGAATGTACAAAAATTAAATTATAATTGCTGTCTACACTGTAAAGCTAGGTATGCCACAAGTACACTGTGAAATAGTGTCAGAAGGCAATAGCTCCATAGTTTTTGTTTTAAGGATCTTCTGCCCTGCTGTTGGCTTCCCCATGTTATGGAAATAACCCAGTAATTCATGTCAGTGTCAGCTGGCAGTGCTAAAACCAGCCACTGTGGGAACAGATCATTATTCCCACTGTTAACATCTGGTTGTCCCTTTGACTGTGTCCCACCATCAGTGGCTGCCCCACAAAGCCATTCAGCAGAGCCCAGGCAAGTGACCAGAAAGATGGACCAGATCCCCCTCTAAACCCAACTTCTGCTCAGCAAAAGCCCCTGGGTGAGATGCAGGTCCCACCAGCACAGGAGGCTGCTCCATGCCTGGGAAGGCACTGAGTTGTCTGCTTCTGAACTTATCTGTTCTAGATAATTCTTCACCCAGATATCCCAGTCCAGAAAGGATGATGGTACCCTTAAAGACAGTGTAAACACAGAGAAACTGGAAAGACTTCCTCTTTCAGTGTAATTGTTGTAGACAGGTGCTTTACTTAGATCTCTGAAAGCAAACTTTTTGGGTGGTATCTGGAACATGAAGATGAGATTTTGTTTCCTGAACCAGATTTGCATTTCCTGGTTACCTCAGTCTTGCTGTAGACAAATACAGAAGCACATGCTCATCCTCTCACATGAGGAAAATTAAACATATGCTCTCAGTGAGTCAGAGCCCACCGTACATAACAGTCCTGGAGTAGTAATAACACTTCTATGGGGGAAGTGTGTATAGTGCTCTGCTCAGATCCAGGATGGCTGTTCTGATGTTGTAGGGATTGAATAGTTTTTGCATATGGTGTGTGTGCTTTATACCCTAAAATACTGCTGAAGCATTTGATTTTGAATGTGGAAGAGGTGCGAATTCACAGAGCAGATGCAGCAGGGACATTCAGAAAGTGAGAGTCTGACTGGAGATAAGGAGGGAAAGGACAGTGGCAGAGAAACAGCGCTGGTTTATATTGTGATGTCTCCAACATTGCTAAGGACAGGGGGAGACCCCCCCGTCCTTCCTAAAAAGGGTTTTTGTTTAATCCCACAGCAATCAATCAACGAAGCCATACGGACATCAACCCTTCCCAGACCAGCTGCAGCAGGAGGCAGTGGAGAGAACGGACGTGTGGTCAGCCACGATTTCCCCAAATCCATGCAGACGATCCCGTGCATGAGCCACAGCACCGGCATGTCCCTGGGAGCTACGGGATTATAATTGGCCTTTTGACCCATTGCCTGGGTGAGAGCAGGGGCAGCCCAACTCCACCCCCTCCAGAGCCAAAACCAAACCCAACACCAAGACAAATGACAACGACGAAAGGGACAATTGGCTGGGTCTTCTTGAGGAAATCAAATCTATTTCCCTTTTTAATTGCAAATAGATCCACCGGCAGGAGAACAGAAACAGGTCTGTACTGCAATAAGGAGAGTATAATGGGATTTAACAGACTCATGAACCATCCCTGATCAAAGAACCACTGGAACACTAATGAGGACTATGCCATTTTGTTTTAACTTGGTTGTTAATAAGTCTTAGTGTGTGCAATATATATATTTTTTCTTACTAATTCCCGTGGTGTCAGGGTAACATCAGCCCTTTCCCTCTTCCCTGCTCAGTCCTTCAATCTGGTTTAGTTTGGGATGCAAACCATAATGTCTGAGCTACTAACAGCAAAAAAGAAAATCAGATAAATAGCAAGTTGAACTCCCTGCAGGGCTTCAGCATTGACCCCTTTTGTCCATTGTGATCCTGCCTTCTGTTCTGTTGTGAACTCAGGCTGCAGAGTTGCAGCAATGAAGCAGACAGAGCTGGGAATGGCTCCATCTGCAACGGGATGCACTTGATGTGAGAAAGAACCTGAACAGGAACATGAGGCTGTTTTACAGGGGCGAAGTCATGAATGAGTTTATAAACCCCAGGTAACAAGGACAAAGTGATCATTCTTCCAGAGAAGATAAATGGGGGTTCAAGAGAAGAATCGTGTGCCTGGAGTGGAGAGCATCATGTGTGGCAGACTAGAGCAGATGGTTGGTCTAAGATCATGGTCAGCTGCTGTTTATGGAAAAGAGAAAGTACATGCCCCATTCCCCTCATATGTGACTCTCCTGCCTAGGTTACTGGGGGCTAGTAAGAATTGTGAACCATTTCTTCATTGCTTAGCTTCTGTGTGTGCTCCCTTTTTGGTGGTCACATAAGGGAACCACCTTGAGCCAGGAATAGACCATCTCAAGACATCCAGTTCTAGATGGCTGCCTATTAACCAGTGAAACATGCTAGAAGTCATGGGGCTGCAATGGGAACATCCCTGCCTTTTTGCTCTGAAATCCCTTTATGGTCATTTTTCTAATTAAGGGGGAAATTTTGTAGATAGTTGGCCAGAGTGGCTTCCTGGAAGGAACTGCTGAAGCAAACCAAGCAGGAGACCTCTACAAGAGCTTCATTTATGTGACCATGACATTCAACAGCATCCGGGCTGGTCAAGATCATCCTTCCCATCAAGTCATGGCCTGTCTGGGTACAAAGCCAAAAGTAGCAGATTCCCACTCGTGTATCCTTAGGGAGGGGGAAGCAACCACAGGCCAGGAGAGCAGGTTGCTGACCCCAAACTCAGTATTACAGAAACCCACACTGCCAGAACGACAGCTGGAAGTCCAACCACAGGCATGGAGATCAAAAGGGCAAAGATGTTTTTCCAGAACTGCACAAAATGTTTGTTCTGTGAATCACTGGCATGGACAGACAAATGCTTCCCACCCTGGTAGGCCTGAGACATCTCCCAGAAGTGAAGGATTCCCAGAGAAGCATCTGGAGAGAGAGTAGTTCTGTGGGACAGAGACCACAGTGAACCCACTTAGCCTTGCCCCATCTCATAGCTCCATCACTGATGGCAAATAAAGTTCAAAGCTTCTCAGAAGACCCAGGAAATATCTGTCTGGGGACTGAGCTGCTATTGGAGTGTTCCAGGCTGGTTTTTATCTTTTTTTTCTTTTCTTTTCTTTTTTTTTCCTGTAACATAACAAGAGAGGAGCAGAAAGAGAGGGCAGGCAGCTGAAGATGAAGTGATGCAGGCAAATGACTGGCATGGATCTGTGAGGAGGATCTGCCTATGCAGTTGTCCATAAGTACAGCAGGAAGCTGCCTGAGTACCCGTTTCTATCAGTGTACAAACATGCAGAGCAATACATTTACCATCTTTAACACCAGCCTGAAGAGTCTGCTCCATTTACCCACTGCTTATGCAACACTTTGGAGACCAACAAGTCAGAATCAAGACCCTAAGCTCGGGCTCAGCATGTCTTGTGCCCATAGGTTTTCCTCTCTCCACCACTGGAAAACCTGGTGATCTTCATCTCTCATCACCAAACATGAACTCTGTTACCAGACACTCCAGACACCTCTTCAGATCACTTTTTGTTGGTTATCATTATTTTTAATCCACTTTCCTTAATTTTAAATTCAGTTCTGTGTAAGTGCCAGGAGAGTGGAGGCACATCCCACAAGCTGGCATGTTTCCATGTCCAGAGGCCTCGGATGCATCTCCTGACCCAGACCTTACCACAGTCAGGCACTGCAGTGGGAGCAGCTTCCAGAACCCAGCAGTGACCCATTCTCCTCCAGAGACAGGACCATGTGGCACCAGGTTGTGGAGAGCCCGACCAGGTGGTCAGACAAAGTCATGAGAAGCAGCACATCCGTGCCAGGACTGGCTGCCTGTGACATGAAGATGTGAGAAGCAGTTTTCAAAGGATTTTGAACAGTGACGGGGTTAAAAAATAATAATAATAATTAATGGGACAAAAGCGTGGAAAATGTTAACTTGTAATATGTATTTTTACTACACTTTTCTTAAAAATAGAGTAATGGTAAAACTCTTTAAGACATTGACATTTTTTCTCAACAGGAATCCATATTTAACAGTTTTGGCTTTCATTAAATTTTGCTCTTTGGTACCTGGATCTTTTATTTAACAGCTACATTTGTTTTAACTCTCTTCTCTTTTTTTCTTGCTTTCTTTCTGTTTTTCCTTTCGGCAGTGCTGCAAAGGACTTTGCTTTCTTGAATGCAACAGTGTTTTTCTTTTCACGTTCTCTTTTTTTCAAGCACCATTTTTATTGGTAATGATTATTTACACACACACAAAAAGAAAGACACTATCAGCTGGAATTTTAGCACCAAGAATCCATGATCTGGTCTTCATACCTGTCCATGCCGTTTTGTGCCAGTGCTGGATGTGTGGAAATGAAAATTATGTTACCCCTCAGGCAGTTCTACCCAACCTGAATCAAACGAGATTTCCTTGATTATTGCTGTGTCTGACTTGTGAACAGCAGCCAAATAAACTGCTTCAGGTTGAAATTGGGAATCTATCTAATATTTACCCAAGAGTCAGGAAACTAAATATTCATCGGGTTCAAAGTTAATGGTTTTGATTCATTTGGAGTTTTGTGGGGTTAATTTTGGGGAGGGTTATTAGAGGATTTTTAGCTTTTATTTACAGAGAGAGAAGGCACAGTCAGCTCAGAGATAATGCAGAACCAGCACTGGTCCAAAAATCTTCATCAGGGTCAGCTTTCTTAGGAGTTGCCATGCTGTTTTGGAGGCTTGCACATTTGAGATATTTCTCACTCAGTTTTCACACAATTACCCTGATAAATTTGTCATTCATAAGTCTGTTGAAGGAGGAAAGAGAGTAGGATGTAAAAGGCCTTGGCCATCTATGCAGATGCTGACAGCTGCTGAGGTTTACTATAATCACTAACGTCATGCTCTTATGTAGTGTCCAATATCACAGAACTGGAACAACTTCCTGTCCCTGTATCATCATTCCCATATATTGGCTGGGGAAGATAAGACACAAAAGTGCCTTGAACCAGGCGTCCAGCTCATCCCACAGAGCCCTGGTTATAGATTTAAGGTCTCCAACATTCACAAGGGTTGTGTTGTTTTTAACCTGCTGATAAGTTTTAAAGATGGAATCAGCAAGAGGCAGAATTAATGTTTTGAAATGGGCTGTGAACTCTCAGGCTTCAAAGCACAAGAGATTCCAAATCAATGGGCCCTGAAGGAGAGGTTTCCCATGGGCAGGCTGTGCTGGATCAGCCTGTTTTTGGTTTCCCACAATTGCTTAGGCAGCCAGTACTGTACTGTGGGCTTTGATCCTGTCTCAAAACGCTTTTCGTGTTCAGTGGTTCACTCTTGTTTCCCTGTGAGGGTGCAGAAATGCACAAGAAATGTTCCTTTATATCTTGGCATAAACAGGTCAAAATTTCCTCCTAGTGGGAAAAGCAAATATTCCTTTTAAGAAAGTCTCCAGCAAGAATCCCAAACCATCTTCAGCAGTTGTTGAAGCAAAAAAACAGTGAACCTCCAAGTGCAGCAGGTGAGGAACAGATGCATCATGCAGTCCATCCCTTTGCTATGGGATGACAACCCTGGCACAAGGACACAGAGCTGAGATCCTCCCAAAAGATGTGGCTAGACTTGTTTGTCCATCTGCCTATCTGCCATCAAAGGCAAGGAGAATTTACTCAGCTCCGTGAAGGGACTGGGCAGAGACACATCAATGTTTACTGTAACCCAGTGGGTACCAATAACCTTTCCATCTCCAGCAACACAGCGACGTATCTCCAGCAAAGTTTTGGGAGACATGGGGAAATTTTCACTGTGAACACAGGGCTAGTGCACAGTTTTCAATGACATGGTCACTCTCCCAGTGTCTGCATTTTGTGTGCATTTCTTACTAAGATGTTGGTCCACCACAGAGACACATGTCAGAGCTTAGATGACTCATTCCTTAGGACCCTGCTGGTATCTTCACAGCACAGACTGGGGCTTAGCAACTGGAGGTTGCTCTGAAGCACCACCTTGGAGATTGGAGGAGATGGATTCAGGCCCTACCCATCAACAAAAGTACCACATTAACCCCAAATATCTTTTAGAGACCTTTGTTACCTGTTCTCTGATGGCTTTTGTAGCTGCTGACCTCTCTTAAATACAGATTCCTCAGTTGCCCTCATGTTACCTATGGGCACAAATCAATTTGTCAGCCACCAGTGCTTGTTTTGTGTCTTGACAATTCTCTGCTTGCTGAAGCCCTCATGCTTTCATCTCTGCTACCCAGTTAACAGAAATACTGGAATGTCACTGTACCATGGACAGCTGCCCACCAGCAGCATGGAAAGTGTAACTAGTCAATGTTTGCACATCCCTTTCTCATGCACTAATTATATGGTGTACACACACACACACACACATACAGATATTAAGAGATGCCTTTGACAGCCCAAATTAGCTGTCAAGTTACCTTTTCATTCCAAGAGATCAATATGGCATAAGGTACTGGCCACAAAGTATGTTCATTACTCTGCAGGCCTTTAGCAGTAATTCCTCCTCTGTTTGAGCTGGCACCAAAATTAATGGTATGTTGTGTTCTATAAGTCTTGACTTTCTAGATGAAAGGTACACGGTGTTGTTCACATCAGTATCACAGTGTAATAAATCAGTGCTTTCCCATTGGAAGGATTTCAGACAATTTCACAACTTGCTCTCAGGAACTC